GAAGAGATCGGTTGCACCGCGATTGGCCGTACGCACTTACGCAGTGCAAGTGCAACGTAGTGCGCGCCAAATACGTTGATAATTCCAAATAATGGAAAATAAAACGGCGAAGGAGAAAGAGCTAGGAGAGATAAAGAGGTATATTGTGCCGATATATGTGGATGTTATCAGACGCGATAACACTGATGCACCTGTATTATTAATGTTGTTATTGTCCATTTTGCCCATATCACTAGCGCCCCAAGTGCTTCAACGGATCCAAGGAAGATGTAGGCGGCTGTCAGACGCGGTCAGACGCGTTGTTACGACGTGCGGTGGAGTCTGGATTTGCTTCGTTTCACGATCAACAAGCGTGATATTTCTCTGTTGCTGGAAGGTGCACGAAATCGTGAGAACTGATACAATCGAAGTTATTAGCAAGAGAGCGATGTGATGCGGAATCAACATCGGCTGTGGCCGAGGCCGCAACCAGCCGGTTAGGTTAGGTGTCTTGTCAGTGTGACGTTGGAAAAAAATTACAAGTCTCGCTTATCGCTGATTTGACACCTGCTTATGTGAGTTTGGCCTCGCGCTCGTGCATTCTTGCTGCCTGAATTCTTATACTAAAACGAGCTTGTGAGCGTAAAACGCATGAAAGATCAGTTTTTCTTTTCCACCTGGTAATTACAAGGCTTTCCAACTGTTAGGAAAAAAAGAGAGATAAATGTATCACTAGTTGTTATATCTTCCTCTAAACTAAGATTTCTATTCTATTGATAACAGTTTTATCCATCTCATGACATCGCAATATTGCATCGTTTTACAGGGATAAACGTATAAATGCAATGTGGTAAAGAAAAGAAGCCAAGATGAGCTGTTCTGTGGAATTACGCCAGCGTAGGCAACAGGGGATGGCGGAGGATCCTCATAAACTTGCGGCGATGATGAATAAATCTCAAAGACTTGTATTAGGACTTTTAGTTCTATTGCTAGTCGATATAATTTGGGTTTCCAGTTCTGAGCTTACCAAAGTAAGATCAAACTTTCCGTATCTTTTACCTTCTTTTACCTTCACAAATACAATATATTACAACTAGCTTATTTACCAACACTTGTCAATTGTCGATGTAATCGATAATTAGATACATTTGAAAATTTTTTTTATATATACAATTATAATAGAAATCACAGTGATATAATATATATCATTTCAGTACATCTACAGGGATGAAACATTCGAAAGGCCATTTTTTAGTACATATGTAAGAACATCTATGTTTACATTTTATTTGCTCGGCCTGTGCTTTTGGCCACCTTGGCGGGAACAATGTAATAAGCCTGCAACATATATGGTATTTATTGAAATTACATAAAACATTTTTTTTTCTCTCCACTTGTACATCTTACAGATTCTGATATATTTTACTTTCTTTTAGTTTATAGATCCCAATGTTGAAGATGATAACTTTTATTCGGAGGCTAATACAAGTCTAGTAAGTATGTGTGTTTGTGTATGTATGTATGTATGAAAGAAATTATTAGAATTGAGAAAGTTGTGCATCATAATATTTTTTATCATATGTTAATGATAATGCAAAATAAATGTGCATTGGATCTAATCTAGATGCTTTTTACATAAATTGCTTTGGAAAAAAATATTCTATTGATATAAGGAAAATTGATCCATTCTATACATTGAAAAAAAAAAGTCTGATAGTAGCTACCAAATGTCGAGTAATATAATTCCAATTAAATATTTAATCGATATAACTAAAAATAATTTTACTTTTCTAAATATTTAGTGTTACCGCAAATATGGTAATATAATTAATCGTTTGTTAATACTTACTAAATATGTAGAAAAGTAAAATTATTTTTAGTTATATTGACCGAAGACTTGGTTGTAAATTATTTCATTTAAGATTTGGTTTTTAGTACTTTGGTAATTATTACTAGACTTTTTTTTGTATATGTATGTATTGTGTATTCACGTATGTGAAATAGAAGATTTTCCCGTTCTGCTGTTAATCTAATAACAATTACTCATTTTATCATAGAGTGATCCAACGTTTGTTCCAATAAAAACACCGGATCATTGTGATCGTTCGTCAGGAACGGAAAGTGACGATTCGTCCATTCGCTCTGTACGATTCAGCAAACTGGCGGAAGTGCGCCATATGTCCGAAAGTGATGCCACCGAGGCTTTATTGGCACGACTTAGTTATCAAGCCAGTGTCAGAGCTGGAGAACAAGCGAGAAGACAAGCTAACAAATTCTCTGTACAAAAAGTGGCTAAGATAGCTCTTATGTTTTGCTTATTTGTAAGTAACAATGTAAAATTTAATCGAACGCATTGTTCTCTCGGCATTATGTGTTATCGGAACTGTCTTCCAGTGGTTCATGGCAAATTATACATACCAGATGTCATTGGAGCAAACCCCAGCTAGAATTGTTACTGTATTGTCTTCTACATCCAGTTTATTCACTTTATTTCTCGCTGCTTCTTTTCCCTGTAATGGAGGAGACAAATTTACGCTGTCCAAATTAGCTGCTGTGATAGTTAGTATCTTCGGACTGGTAAGTTGCAAGTTTACTTACACAAATTATAATTAAACTCGTAAATACAATTAAACAAAATAATTCTTAAGCAGAACGTCTAACGTAAACATTTCACATTTTCTTTTAAATACAGAGAATAGAGAATAAAAGATATGCATGCGTTATATCATGCAATATATGTTGAAAAACATTTTCTTTACTTGCAGGTACTGGTCGGTATTTCGGATTTAACTATAGAAAGTAATAATATGTCAACGGGCATAATATTAGCTCTAGTCAGTGCTTTTTTCTATGCTGCATACATTGTATTTTTAAAAAGAAAAGTAGATCACGAAGACAAGATGGATATACCAATGTTTTTTGGCTTTGTGGGAATATTCAATTTAACACTTCTGTGGCCTTTATTCTTCATTCTTCATTATGGTCATTGGGAAGAGTTTGAATGGCCCAATAGCCACCAGTGGACATTCCTAATTATAAACGGTCTAATTGGTACTGTTCTGAGCCAAGTTCTTTGGCTATGGTAATTTCAATACAATTCAACGTGTTGTCATACTTACGGTAATAATAATAACAACTTTTGTACTTTTATGTAACGTGATTGCATTCTATTGTATCTACAGGGGTTGCTTTTTGACATCATCTCTCGTAGCAACAATGGCTGTAAGCTTAACAATGCCCATGTCAATGGTAGCCGATGTCCTCTTGAAAAAAGTTGAGTACCCTTGTATTTTCTATTTGGGAAGTATTCCAATGCTTTTAGCATTCCTGACAGTATCTCTTTTATCTTATTACGACAATTGGGATCCTGTTATGGATTTAATTAAAAGGTTTTTCATCTGGATATGCAGGAAAAACAACAGATCTACAAGGTAAAACATGCATTACATGTATGATATAAATATTATATATTATAAATCAAAAATAACAATATAAATTGACTAGAATTATAATATCGTAACGTACACATACTAACCGTACACATACTAACCGTACACATACAAACTATGAAATGATAAATCAATATTTTCAGGATTCCAGATCTTGAAGCAGAGCAAACAGAATCTTTAATAGGAATAGACAGTGGTGATCATGAAGCTTAACAAGACAATAATGAGAGAATTGAAAATAAAACACCTCGTGTGTGTTACATACATCATTGTAATCACCATCTTAATTAACAATATTTCTTGGTAAGTACGTGCCTCTATCGGCCGTAAATACCCACTTTCATTTAAATCATCTTAAGTTTTATATCTTATTGTGTGCAATAATGATTATCACAGAGTCTCTTACTTTTTCTACGCTTTATTTCATATTAACATCACAAAATGATATTACTGCCGGACAATAACGATTGCAAGTCAATTTACGACGAACGCAATTAACATGCTTTATTTGTTCGAGCTCACATTATGCATTTCTGAAGCTACCTCTTTTTACATTTCTTACCAATTTATTCTGCAAATGAATGTGGTTTTCATAAACTGTGCCACCAAGATCTGGTAATAACATAATAATTGTTATTTCAAGACTATGCGTCTTTTGGGTCTTGCGCTATATCCTATCCTATAACTGGATTCGCAAAGAACCAGAAATTCAGTGTCTTTACCAAAATCTGTATATACTATTATATATAATAGAGAGTTAATGAAAATCAAAGAAATATTCCTTCATAAGATTATACTTTTCACTAAACAGTAATATTTTTTATGCTATTAAAGCTTTATAACACGATGAATGAATAACTTATTAACAAAGACAAATGGCACTCTGCTATGTGCTAAAAGTAACGTTTTCATAACGGAGCACCAGTGCGTTCTGTACTTATTATTTTTAGTATTTGGCTGATTTTAGACGAAGTATTATAAATGAGAGATAGTTTTACTAAGGGTTACATAGTGAGAAAAGAGAGTGCTATAAAGCTTTGGACCAATAAAAATTTGATGATAGTAAAATGAAGAGTAAGTACTCACTCATAGAGAGTAAAAACTCAATAACGTGAGATCGAAGTTTTATATATTCGGCGAAAACAATGATTCATTTATATTTCAAATGTCTAGTCTAGTCATGACACACCTCCATTCGGCTCACATCCCGCTTATTAAACATGATTAATTTTGGGATTTAATTCGGTTGTTACAACTGAAATAATTTATGTTTAATTTTTCTTCCGCTTCGACGCACAAGTTTTATCACTATGTGTTCAAATATTAACAAGCTGTAGATAAGATACACGAGTAAAATGAGTATCGTAAACTGCGATGTAAAATGTTTACTGATTTCAAAATTCTGTAACAGATTTGTTAATTATTAGAAAAAAATGGACGGGTAAAATTTGTGAGATGGAATATGGCACACTTAAATGCTGTCCCACGTAGTTATAAAACTTAAACATCTCTTATACATCTCTTATCCGCGGTATATGATTGGAAATCGAAACATTCATATCCGGCTTTTGAAGAATTGATATACATCTCGACTGATCTCATTCAATTAAGCGGTGCATTACGCTACGTCGTATTTTTATTAAAATTACAATTTCCGACTTTGTGTAAAATGTCTTTAAAAATTGTATGCATATATATCTACGCTAGAGTACAGCATTGGGACAATTTGAGCAATGGGGGGGGGGGGGGGGGAGGTAATTTGTATAGAAAGAATACATACATATTTCAAAGAGAAAACAAGTTTGTAAGAAAGCAACATCTTTGACGAAAAAAAGTAAATAAAAAGGGAAGGGCAGTTGCAATGTTAAATTAATGATGTGATGTGATATAACAATAAATAATGTTGCGTAAATATATCTTAGAATATAGTATAATGCGATCTATTAAGAGAATTTCGAGTAAATAGTAATTGATCGTTCCTGTAATGTTATAACCAGACTTGAAATTGTGTGCGTTGAGATCGCACATCAATCGAAAGGTATTTTTCGCTTTCGGTCATGTCCATTATAGAGAGATGGAATCTGATTCCATCGTAAAAGACATTTGCTAATATTTGGATGGTGTAAATTGTTCTTGTATTTAAAATAAAAAAAAATGTTTCAACATTTTCTCTCTCTATCGAAACCCAAGACTGGCTATAACTATGTCTATTGTATATTCAGTGTAAATATTATGTTCTAAAGTTAAATCTAAAGTTGTATACATATTATATAAAAATTATGTGATAATAAAGTATAATCCTTAACAATTTCATTTATATATCCACGTTTGCGCGGTAATAAGAAAAAATAATTCCAAGACAAGTGAATCTCGACAAACAAAATTTATAATTCGGTTATATAAAAAACGGCATTCGAATGATGAGAAGAAACATGTAATTGACACAATCGTGCCTCGTACAATTTTTTAGGCTAATGTATCAGGTTCTGATTTTCTGAAATAGCGCAATATAGGACTTGAAATATTCATGATTATACTAACTTTTGCGACATGGCCCGCGATAACCAAACAAATACACTCGAATTGCACATAAAAGGTAAGAAAATATTACAGAAAATCATACAGAAATAATAGTACATGATTTTAATATTTGTTACGTTTTTAGTAAATGGACAAAATTTATCAGCAATTTCAGAAAAGTGTAATATCGGCACGTTACGGTATATAATTATGCATACTATTATATTATTGAGTAAGAACACCGACAAGATATCATTAAAGATTGATATCCTTACGGGAGTTTGCGTCCTTGTGAATATTGAAATGATTAAAAGTCAAAAACTGATAATATTGCACTAATTTTATGATTAATTAGTTTAGTAGATATATTCATGCATTTAGAACTCAATAATACTCGATTTTTCTTTAAAATTGTGATTTCAGTGTTGTTGTTAAAGTTTGATTAACTTGTTTGATTATCAGAGATGATAACTGCAAAGAAAAAATTGTAATTTTTTGGCAGTATATAGGATATCACAACTTTACAAGTATACATATTTATTTATGGAGCATTTATATAATAAAAAATCATGAATTTAATAATATATTAGTCAAATATTTATGTTAATAATAGCAAGTTTATAATTGTCAATTGTCAATAATGTTCAATGTTCTTCCTCCTTGTTATTACCTCTGTGCCCTTGGAGTCCTTTTTATACCACCAAAAATTTACCTAGGGTTGACGGTTTTTAATAGTATCTTGTCGGTGCTAAAAGTAAATAAGATCTTGTTCCCTTTTTGTTTACCATCATATCCTTGATATTAGAATTCCTTCCGATCCATCTTGGCCTAAAATACCTCCACGTTATTCAAGCAACATTATCGATGACATTATTGAACCTCCATGTGTGATCACTTTGACAGAAACTCCTAGAAAATGTCGTAATGTAATGCAAACTGTTTCAAGCCGGTAAGTTTCAAGCATTTCAGATACTGCTTGTTATAAATGTACGTAAACTACATAACTTTGTGTCGTGATGAGATAAGAGAGTGCTGCATTTCCTATTTTTTCTCTCTTTTCTTGTTTTATTTTAGACATCTCAAATCAAGATTAAACCAAGGATGCGAAGCAGTCACGCAAATACCGAAAAGAATACCTGGCTGTTTTGATCCACGTTTTAGAAGGCATTAATTTCTCCAAGATAATATATTTTATATTAAATTTACGCTTTGTAATAACTCGTGACTTTATGACAAGTCAGTTCTTTACAGGAAATAAGTGGCACAGTAGCCTGCTCCACACACACACACACACACACACACACACAAATTTGAGAAGAGTAATATTTATAGTTTCCTTCAAATTTATTCTTTAAAATATATTTTTTATTATATTTTTTATATTTTTTATATTTTTTTAACATCATTTAATATATTTTTATCTACGTTTCGTTTCATTGCCATACTAATACAATTTGTAATGAAATGCAGACAGATATCACGGCAAAAGGCTGAGAAACCAGATGAATTTTATATCACAAAAAACGATGAACAAACACCAAAGTTAGATACATGTATCACGCAAAGAACTGAAAAGCTTGAAAATAAATTACGGGAAACAAGCAAAAGCGTGAACGATTATGTACCAGCGTGTCGCGATGTAGATCATTTATTAAATGTAACAAAATCGGCGAACAAGATGACTGATTATCCTATTGGTGAACAATCCATTTTAGAAACGAGACACTGTCCAAGTAATTGTACAAAATTGTTATATCGTGAAAGTGTTATATTGCGTATGATTCAATTAACTTTTAAAATCAATGTTAATTGTAAATTTATTTCAGCCTTGCAGTATGCGACTAACGAGCGATATGACGTTGGAAGTAGATTTCCTCAAGAACAAAATCAAGTATGCAAGGTTTCAATTTGCGATCGCGCGTTATGATTAGCATTGCATATTAAAAGCAGGCTTTTATCGTGTATTTATGTCTCTTAGGAGACTAATAGGCCACTGTTTTTAATGGTTAATGAGAAAAGGATACACGCGCTACCTATCAATCCTGTTAACACAGAAACTGCGTCCTCGTCCGCGCAGTCACTGCAGTGTTACAGCATTCAAATTCCTATAGTCGCATATCGCGATACACCTTTACAAATATCGAGTATGCTTACGCAAATGGAAAAGAATGTTAACATGCCGTCCGTGTGTCAAAATGACAGTGTGAAAGGTCAAGAAATTGTCGGGAATGTCTGTACAGAATCGATGAAGAGTATCAGTTCAGTGCATAACTTCAGGGAGTCTAAGAATGAAAAATATCCACTTGATAGTAATATATCATTATCTCAATAAAATATGAGTAAAATTCCAATATGAGTCTTCACGATTGACACGTAAATAATATATTTATAAGGTGATAAGATCACAAACAATTGGAACGTACTTAGCAACAAAGTTACGTTTAGCAAACGTTTCGAATCTGAATTCTAAAATCTTTGAGCCCTCAGTGCGGATTATAAAATATATTGCGTATCAACAATCGTGGGAACTCATATAGGCATTTTACTTACATTTGATTTATTTTTAAAGCCGCAAAATTTTTAATTTAATATTATTAATAATTTGACAAGACAAGAACGATCAAAATTTTACTGTTTTTAGATGTTGGGCGTTATAACGCAAAGATCAACGATGATATCTCGAAGAACAAAAGTATTTCCAAGAATTGTGAAAGACACTACACTTCCGAAATAGGCGCGAAGGAAAACGTCGCATCGTTAAATCAAGATATTACAAAGGATATCAAGCTCGATAATGATCGTTGTGGAAACTTTGATGAGTTAGAATTAAATAATGCGGTTGACATCAACAATAAAAATTTAAGTTATTCAAATTTAAATATCGCTGCAAGATTGAAAAATTTCGTCGATCAAAGCTACGTGATAGATTCTTGTATCGCGAATGGAAAAAAGAACGAGAAAGAAATGTCGAAATTGAGCGAAAGAAATATGGCGAAAGCGCGGATTTATTCGTGTATCGACACGGGGACACAAAAGCTGGCGTATCACGTAAAGGATGATCGAGACAATGCAGTTAAACCTTGGACAAATGTAATAAATGACAAAGTACTAGATAAAAATTTAACCTTTAGTCAAGTTGACGATAAGGAGGAATATAGCAAAAGTAATAAGAAAAAGGAAAATAAGAAGGAAAATAAGAACGAAGAGGGAGAGCTGCGCATTAACGTAAAACGTAAAGCAACACCGATGAATCTGTCAAAAAAGGCAAAGTCATTCTTACGGAAGAAATCCCGTTTCGCGATTACAAATTCCGACTGTACTCTGATACTGCCTGGTTATCGTGGCATTAAAGGTAAACGATATAAAAAGAGCTGCGGTCGCTCCAAAATAAGTCAATCGTTACACGGAAGAAACGGAATAAATAGTATGAATTCTATATTAGTAAAGCACAATGCGTCGAAACAAGATCGAATAAATTCTCGTTCATTGACGAATCTACGAACGAGAAATTTATTTGAGAAGCCATCATCCATTCCCCTGGAGACTCAAGAGCTGTTGAACAAAAGTTATTGGGAGTATTACTGGAAACTCCGGTGTAAAATCAAGTCAGATAACGCAAAAGAAAAAGACAAATGTTTAAACGAGCATCTACCTGAATCTCAGACTTTACGACAATGTTCTGTCCTCTCCTGCATGATCAATACAGCGCTTCGAGATTCAACTCGGGCGACTGGTGATGAAAGAGCGTCTTCAAATCCGAACATGACATCTGTTGCACAAGAAAGCGTTTCTGCATTGCCCTCCATGTTGGTGAAGAAGATTCAACGAAAAAGAATGAAGCGAGCGAGCAAACGATTGCTCGGACTTCGAGCCATAGGTACAATAGATATGTTTCTTTCTCTCGCTCGCTCGCTCAACAAAGCTATATTTTTTTCGATTAACTTAATTCTTAAGCCCATCTCTATCAATGTAGATAAACATTAATCTCTAACTTATCTTCTTCTAATTGTAAGTATTAGAAAAAGATAGAGAATATAATAAATTAAATTAGGATTAAACTGCATTAATAGAAAGGGACATTAATTGTAAACAATTTGATCTTTATTCTTCAATTTAACGTTTATAATTCTATTAGCACTGCTGTGTATCGCGATGTATGTCGCGGTGATATTTTTGCCTATGATGTACGACTATTTCTTCGACGAGGAATACGACGATGAGAACACGAATTATATCGAACTAATATTCCAATACATCATATCGTCGTTTGGAGAAGCTCTCGATGAAGTTATCGATGTCTTGAATACGATTTTTTTACGGCCAGTAAGATTTGATCGAAAACGGTAATCTTCGCAACTCTTTCAAATTCGTGATAGTTCCGTTGCAATGGTCATATCTGTACAAATCCATATTAAGCGTTCTATAATCTGTGTCATTTTCAGCATTTGTAATGTGAGAAATGTTAAGTTATTCGAATCCACGTGTCTCTAACTTGTTTTGTCACTCATCCTTGGCTGATCGTTTATACACATTTTATTACATAGCGTACGACATCCGACGTATGACGTCCGATATCCAATAGAAGAATTTGTTTCCTGAAGATAAAAATATCGCTAACTAGAACCGAATTCTCTTGTTAGATATCGTATTGTCGAATATCATATGCTGTGTGAATCTTACATTATTGTTTACAACGTTTTCGTAAGTTGTGTGTATCTATATCTTTATGCAGAACGATATTTCTTACAAATATATATATTGTATACATACACGAATTTATATATAATATACATATCATTGTGTAAATTGCTATTACATCCATAGGTTTGATTATATATAATATAATGCGAAATGAAAACAGAAACAACCCTACTGAAAAAAATCATGTCACAATATTACATGATGGAATCATGTAATTAAAACATGTAAAACACGTAACGGATTATTCCAAATCAATATGTTTTTTAAAATGATATGATATTTGAAAAATCACACATGATATTACAAATATAATTTCATCCATCATGTGATTTTATATATAGTTATCGAATTTTAAAGAATTGCTTGATAGAAATAGAAGAAAAAAGAATGTATCATGTGACTTTTCAAAATGTATAATTTTAAAATCACGTACTGATTTGAAACAATCCGTTACGTGATTTAATACATGTTTCAAATACATGATTTCATCATGCAACTATGTGACGTGATTTTTTTCAGTAGAGAAGACAATTTCGACATGTTGCAATAAAAGTATTTGTATATTTATATATAAAATTAATTATAATTCGAAACGAAACTAAAAAAAAAAGAGATTATTGTTCCTCTTCTTTATTAGTTTTCATTCCTCAACTCTTCACGATTGTTTCGTGACTGAGACAAAAAGTGAGGCCATTGGCTGCGTTCAGCAGAAAAAGCAGCTTTGCAGCTGTTGTGACATTCTTGAGTACTTATGTGGCATTTTTTCGTTATGCAACTAAAAGCAATCACGGCTAAGGCTATCTTCGTCTTGTTATTCTTGAAGACGAAGATAGCCTTAGCCGTGATAGCTTCTGGTTGGATAACGATAAAATGCCCATGATTGGTTTATGCATTTAAATCCAGTGAACAAGATCAATCATATTAAAGAATAGTTGCAATAGTTGCAAAACTGCTGTATGAGCGTCGTCATTAACTGCGTCGTCATATTGAAAATTAGATACTAGCACCTCCAAATTCGAAGGACAAAACTACATATACAGGGTGTCCCGTAAGTTTTTGCCAAGTACTTGTGTGTAGATAGAACGGACTAAACTGAGTCAAAAAGTCCTCTATTTTGCACAGTAGTTAATAAGATATTAACAGGGTTGGGTGGTGCTAGTTAAAAAGTTAAAAAGTTAAAAAGTTAATTAATTTTAACTTAACTTAGTTACATTTTAGATTCTTAACTTTTTAACTTAATTTAGTTACATTTTGTCACAGTAATATACTATTAATTTTTAATTGGAATTTTTTTAAGTCAATCCTTAGATACAATACGAGAAGCTAAAGTTCTTTAATAAATAAGCTGTAAGAAAGGAAAAATACGAAAAATTATATTACGTAAAATCAAATTTTTTCTCTTTTTTCTTTGATTGTTCGAATCAAATTTAACTTTTAACTTTTTAATTACTTTTTTTATTAACTCTCTTAACTTTTAATTTTATTATGGATTAACTTATATTTTAATTAAGTTAAATTTTCAATGCTGTTAATTTTAACTTAACTTAATTTTAAAAAAAGTTAACTTATGCAATCCTGGATATTAATTACTAAAAATCACTGAATATTGGTTTTCAACAATTTTTTACTCAAATACTATAAACTTTATAGAAAAACTGCAAAAGGCAAAAATCATTTATTTCCTTCTCATAGAACTTTAAGAATTTTTTCAGAATTTTTTAATACGTATTTTCTCATGTCCATAAAAATAAGAAAATTCAGTACTAAAAAGTTGATAAAAAATTCTGAAAAAATTCTTAAAGTTCTATGAGAAGGAAATAAATGATTTTTGCCTTTTGCAGTTTTTCTATAAAGTTTATAGTATTTGAGTAAAAAATTATTGAAGACCAATATTCGATAATTTTTAGTAATTAATATTTTTGGTTAACTATTGCGAAAATTGCAAAATGGTAGAGGATTTTTCGATTCAGTTTAATCTGCTCTATCTATATAAAAGCGTTTGGCAAAAATTTACGGGATACTCTGTATATACGTATATAATAATATAATATATATACGAATTGCTGGTAAGTTATTATTTGTCTGTATCATAATAAGATAATTAATATTTTCAACACAAAAGCTTTTACCGACAGTACAGGAGAAGAGAATGTAATAATACGTGTGCCCTCCAAATTGAGAGACGCTAGTGTCTTGATTCTATTCTCAATTTAGCGAAAACTTTACGCGATATGATATACATAAGAAGGAAGATCATCTAATTTTATATATATCTATGACTCTTCGCGTTCCGAACATTCCTGAATTTCCTGAATGATCCGGCTGTGAGCTGTGCTGTGAACATCGCTTTAGAACGCACGTGCATTGCGGATAGTGCATACGTCAGCACACGTGTTCTTAATACTCCAAGTATTCCAATATTCCGCCGAGTGCTCTCGTCCAAAGAAGCTCGTTTCCTTGCAACTGACTAAAAAATAAAGGCACGACAATCTTAACCGAAAATTATGGCAGATTTTGTATTGGGCGATATAAAGGATGTACCGCTACCGGACGATGGCTTGTCAGCGGCGCAGCTATTTGCCGCGGGTGATGGTCTTACTTACAATGATTTTATCATATTTCCCGGTTACATTGATTTTCCGGCAGATGAGGTCGATCTACTCTCACCGTTAACGAAAAGAATCACGTTGAAGGCACCTCTTGTATCTTCGCCGATGGACACCGTTACCGAGTCTGACATGGCTATAGCTATGGCTCTGTCCGGCGGGATCGGCATTATACATCATAATTGTACCGCCGAATATCAAGCCAATGAAGTGCATAAGGTAACATATTCTTTGTCAATATAATCGTTTTAGGTATATACTCGTGAAAACGAATTCAACGCGACGTACGCATACCTATATAATTTCAATTTCCATAGCAGCGTATAAAGTACAAACGTTTCGTCTTATTATATGTAATTTCTATATTAAATGTTAGGTGTTATAATAAGATTTTATAATAAGTCAGTTGCCCAGCGAACGAGAAGCGAATGGATTAAAATGGATTGAATTATTTTCTATCCGAATGTGTATTTTAAAAAATAGCAAATACCTTTTTTGGATTTAATTGGATTCGGTTGGATTCAATTAGATTCAATTAGATGCAATTGGATTGAAAAACTACATTTCCTATTCAAAATTTTGCATTCACAATGCACAGAAAAAGCTAATATTTTTAGATTAGCATAGAGATATGCTCCATGATTGAAAAGCATTCATTTTAACATTCGTGAATCAATATCTGAAAATCTGAATCCATTTCAATTCATTTCAATCCATTCTTGTTTGCTGGGAGTCTCTGTAATTGATGAGTCGAAAACAAGTCTGAAGGATAGTTGATAAGTTAGAATTGATGAATCAGTGGAGTTGGCTAGTAGCCAACTTCTAATACTATAGACTATCGATTATTGTAGAATTAGTCTTAAACTTGTATTACATAAATACACTGTTTTGTTTACAGGTAAAAAAATACAAGCATGGCTTCATTAGAGATCCGGTTGTATTGGCATCACATCACACCGTCAACGATGTTTTAAACGTTAAGATTGAGCATGGTTTTAGCGGAGTACCTGTGACAGACACGGGTAAAGTTGGCGGTAAGCTGCTAGGCATCGTTACCTCGAGAGACATCGACTTCCTCGAACGTTTGCCCAATTATCAACATAAGTCGCTTAGCTCTATAATGACAACTTTAGAAGATTTAATCACCGCACCAGCTGGCGTAACGTTGCAAGAGGCAAATGTTATATTGGAAAAGTCGAAAAAGGGAAAGCTTCCCATCATCAATGAACGGGGCGAACTTGTATCTCTGATGGCGAGGACCGACTTAAAGAAGAATCGTAGTTACCCAAACGCTAGTAAGGATGAGAATAAGCAGCTGTTGATAGGAGCTGCGATAGGAACGCGAGATGCGGATAAACATCGATTGGAATTGCTCGTCGCAGCTGGCGTGGACGTAGTGGTATTGGATTCGTCACAGGGTAATTCATTGTATCAGATCGACATGATCAAGTACATCAAGAAGCAGTATCCGAATTTACAAGTGATCGCTGGCAACGTCGTGACTACGAAGCAAGCCAAGAATCTTATAGAGGCGGGAGCTGATGCGTTACGCATTGGAATGGGTTCCGGATCTATTTGTATAACACAAGAGGTAATGGCTGTAGGACGGCCTCAAGCGACAGCCGTCTATAAGGTTTCTGAATACGCTAGAAAATTTGGAATACCCGTTATAGCGGACGGTGGTATTCAGTCTATTGGCCATATTATTAAAGGTCTCAGCTTAGGTGCTAGTACAGTTATGATGGGTTCTCTCTTGGCTGGAACATCTGAAGCTCCAGGCGAATATTTTTTTAGCGATGGAGTCCGTTTAAAAAAGTACAGAGGCATGGGCTCGTTGGAAGCCATGAATAGAAAGGATGCTAAAGGTTCGGCGATGGATAGGTATTTTCATAATGAAATGGACAAATTAAAAGTAGCTCAAGGTGTTAGCGGATCAATAGTGGATAAAGGCTCGGTCCTTAAATTTTTGCCTTATTTGACTTGCGGTATCAAGCATGGTTGTCAAGATATAGGAGCAAAGTCACTTACCACCTTGCGATCTATGATGTATAGCGGGGAATTGAAATTTGAAAGAAGAACGCATTCGGCTCAACAGGAGGGCAATGTACATAGCTTATTCTCCTATGAGAAAAGGCTGTATTAGTTGTGAAAAATAATAACTCGTAAAGCACGCGTCATGCGTGCAAGAAAAGTACCTGCATTTAATTGAATATCATTATTTTACAAGACTAGTTATTTTACAAGACCTGCAAGAAATCTCTTATCTGTCGCAAATGTGCGAGGTATATATTGTTGATCAAGTTATGACTCGGGCTCGACCAAATACGACTCGTTTACCTTAGAACTGTTCTTTATGAAGTAGGAAAACTACATCAGGTCATATCATTTATTACGTCAGTCTCGTATGTGTACTTGTTATTTAATGAATGTCTATCATATGGTACTTTGTAAATTTTATCTACACTTTATATTCATAATGAGCAATATGAAAATCAAGAGAATGACTTTTTGTATCGTACAATGCATAATATTAATACAGCTGACAATTTTTTTACTTCATCAAGTAATTGGTATAACAATTATTTAAAAATTATTTAACCGCAAAATCATGTTAACGTTAATAAAATGTAGAGGGAATTTTGAATATACATTGTAATATTTGGTCGTTTGTCCATTTCTCTTAACTTAGTTTTCAATTGATACTTTATCCCCAAGCTAACTTTTATCTTTAATGTTATAATTTTCCAAAATAAAAATTGGAAAATGTTTAGTACGACAATCCAATAGTATTAATAAACTCCGAAGAAAATCACTTTTCCAGTATCAACTTGCAGCTGATATGTTTTATACAGTATTCTCATAATAAACTGTATATCTCAAATAAAAGACAATTGATGTAAACACGATTATGTATCATGCACTTCCCTGTGTTCTAGAATTTTTCATAACGAGTTCACTCTAAGACTGGTTAATAGTCGCGTTTCTGTGTATACACAACTAATAAGAAATTAAGTCCATAAGCTTTCAATCGAAACTTTCGTGCTTGATTAATTCAATGTGTATTTATATACTATCGAATTCTATCAAACTGCGCATCAAATCGATTTTTCGGTTTTGAAATTGGGCGAGTTCTTTAATTCATCGATTGATCAATCGCATTGTGCGCAATTGTAATTTTTGCATTTGTGCGTAATGCAATTGATGAATCAATGAATTAAAACACTCGCCCACTGTTATATCGACAGAACTACCGTAGTATTATCACAATTAAATTATGGTCTGTTTTCTGTAGCTAAGCTAAAGTATACTTTTGGAACTTAAAGTAAGATAGATATATGTTTGATATTTATTGAAAGCGAGAAAAAGAATTATAGTAGTCAAGTTTAGTGCATGAACAGAAAACAGATCATTTGTTAAAGGTGCTTATAAAGATGCCTTTTCACGCTCGACGTTCATTTGCGCTCATTTTCAGCTTCAAAATAAGTCACGTGATAAATTGAAAAATTGAATATCAAGCGTAACTTTGATCACGTGACTTAGTTTGATGTTGAAATGAGCGTCGAGTGTCAACGTGAAAAGGTACCTTAACCAAAGTTTGGCGAAAGCAGACACAACTTTTGATTTGCATACAACACGTGCGATAACACATCATATTTTTGTCATTTTTAATAATTTTTAAATTCCAAAATAGAAAAGTAAGAAAGATCTATATAATATAGGTTAAATGAACTTTTTACCACAAACTATCGTTCCTGCAAATTAAAATGTCGGATACTGTTAATAAACACATTGAAAATACGACAAATTCGGAAGAATCTAGTGAAGCCGACAGTATCGAAAAATGCAAGAATTGTGGAAAAATATGTGATCCTTACAATAAACCATCGTTACGTTGTAGCGGTGGATGCGACAGAAGAATACATACGACATGTTTAGAGAGAGGCAGCGTACCAGTTTCTTTTGTAGGAGATGTTTTCTTCGAACTTAATTGTATTTCTTGCAATCCACTAGGCGAGGAAACAGTTGTGCGTGATAAAATGCCATGGCTCAATGTTATTATTTTGACGCTTTACAATTTACGTGAAAAGTCGAATGGTATCAGTAGAAGAGGATATTTTCATTGGAAGTCCGATATCACTGCTTTTGTAGACAGAAATTGGGATTTTTTATTTAAGAAGACTGTGTAAGTATTTACTTTACTCTGTACTATTATAGTTTATACTTGCCATATGTGATTTAGAATTTATAATGTAAATTTGGTATTTAGAAAAAGGAAGAAAAATTGGATTGGCACCATATCTGGTACACTGTCCCATTATAGTGGCATCTTTTTCAAATCTGGTACCCCTGAATTAGGAGAGTCTGGATGGTGGAAATTAGTGGGCAATGAGCCTCCTGAAATCTTAATAGCTAAGAGTAATACAATTAAATATATATATAGAACAAAATAGCATATATATATATATATGTATGTGTATCTTTCTAGATAACAAAATGATAATGGATAGAAAAAAAAATGTTGGTGCAAAATTACCTTGCAAACCATTAGACAGTCCTGTGCCATCAGATTCTAGTCTCTCAATCGGAGAGGATAGCAACTGTAGTGGAGAACTATTTAAAAATAAAGGCTCCTTGATGTACTCCCATGCATACGTTCAACCTACAGAGACACTATCTAATTTTTTATTGGAAGAGGATGAGCCAAATGGTATGTGATAGAAACAGCATATTATAAACAACAATAAGATATGTGTCAAGAGAATTATATTGTTTAGATGTAGATATCGAAGATAATGTAATGTCACGCAGCGATACTGATCTTCCATCCATCTCTGATTTAATACGCGACTGCCAATATGAAAGTAACAATTTTCATTTGGCACAACTGATGGACAATTGCGACTGGTTATATAATACGAGTACTTTATCATCAAACTGTAGTGGCGACGAAATTAAAAAAATCAAGGAAGAGGAATATGACGAATACAGTAATGATAGTCCAATTTCCATACAAGAGCAGCCCCCAGTTTCTTGGTTTAAAGAAGCAAAACGTCGTCAACGACCTTGGTTGAAATCTTCCGTTAACAGTAATTATCTTTTATCGTAAATTGCATGTGTAGCAAATACAAAATACATAAAGATACATATACAAATATACACGCACGCACACACACATGTATATATAAACGTACATATTCCAGATGAAAAAATACCACGCATGACTCATCAAGAAGAAGCATATTTGTTGCAAAAGGTCAGTAAGACTAATCTGGACAAAGCTTCGCCTGCTATCAGAAGACTATACAGAAAATTAGCAGTACGAAAAACGAAAAGAGAGTATCGGCTTCCTCTATTGGACGTCGATTGTTTCGGATCTAAATCTGGAGCTCCCATAATGCCATCGAGAAATAATGATAGGGTACTGGATCGATTTTTTAACGACGATCTAGAATGTATTTTTGAACAAAGATTGCAAGGTTACAATGAACCTACATCTGTACATAGTCCGTACACAAATAGACTTTTGAAGCCATTTATAAGACGAGATACTAATTGTCAACCATTATGGTTAAGAATCATGGAAGAATTATGCATGAAAGTAAATAAAGGTGATCCGCAATGGAAACCTTTACCTAGGGCATCCATCGATTATTCTTACATCAGACCACAACACATTCCAGCCATCAACAGTCTCTGTTGTCAATTCTTTTGGCCTGGTATAGATTGTAAGTGGTATTACTATAATAGATAAATGTACATAACTATATCTTATACCTAAAAGTTTTATAATTTATTTCATCTCTATATTTTAGTGACCGAATGTTTACAGTATCCAGACTTTACGTGTGTAGTACTATATAAAAAGTTGGTCATAGGATTCGCGATATTGGTACCATACGTTAGCTACAACGAAGCCTACATCTCATTTTTTTTTACACGTCCGGAGTGGCGAAAATCTGGCATTGGCACTTTCATGTTGTATCACTTGATACAAACCTGCATGGGACAAGATGTCACATTACATGTGTCGGCCACGAATCCTGCTTTAATATTGTACCAAAAATTTGGTTTTAAAGTGGAAGAGTTTATTCAGGACTTTTATGACAAATACATGCCGCCAAATTCGCGGGAATGCAAGCATGCTCTGTTTTTACGTTTAAGTAGATAATCTTAATAAATCCAGAAATTCTCTCTCTCTTTCTCTCTCTCTTCCCCCCCCCCTTCTCCTCCCTTTTATCACAAGAGAAAAAAGTTACGGGAAGGAAAAGATTCAAAACTGGCGCGGCGGCAAGTCGTACGTCATCGAGGATTGACGTCATCGAGGGAGCGCTGCGAAGCTGGCGTCGATTCATTCTCGAAAGTTCCGGAAGCTGGTAGAAGGAAAAGTTTATATATATATGGATGGCGAGGTTACGCGACAGTTTAGTATAGCTTGGTACGCGCGTCGAGAGTTTGGATCTGTTTGCGATTATTCTTTGTCAACTATCGCGAACGTCGTCTATACGAGCTTGGAGTGTCTGCACGAAACATATACGCGAGGAATAATCACGGGATAGAGATAGTAAGTGACAAAGCTATAATGGGCAGTTACTTACAAAGGTTTAAGGGGAATGAAAAATCAGAGTAATAATAAGTATTCGTAACCTTGTGACCCGTTTATGAATCGATCGCACGCTTTCCGTACGTTTTTTCACGTACATTTTTTTTTTCCTTCCCTTTTCACGTTTCATCGGGATCGATTTTTTGCGTGTAAAAAATGTGAGAGGATGGAACGACGACAATGGCAACGACATGGAACTCAATCTAAGGGTGGGGTATTTATTTTTGCGTTGCAGCTCGAAACATTCGTCGCGTATTCGCGGTCATCATTGCCAGAAATAGATATCGGTGATACGTACGTGGGTGTGTTGGAGCGCTGCTTCCCGATGCTTCTCCTTCTTCGAGATCGTTCGAGATTCGAAAAGAAATGTCTGGAAATTCACGCGGATGTCTTTCCGTTTCTGGCTCGTTGTCGCGATCAGTCACGACGCTTTCGATTTGATGGTTCACTTTACCAGATGTGTACATGATACACTTTATCAAATACATGAAATGGGACGCACACACGTGTGCTAATGCACGTCCGTGAAAGCGAGCGAATGTGCGATTTGTAGCTTGCTTGTCCTTCCATCTCTCACTTATTTTAGTTCGAAGGACTGGAAGTGTTTTAGCGTACCGATAATGAGAGTGTGATACAAGACCATGCGCACGTGACTCGTACATAATAAACTCTAATTCTGAGCCAATACATCAGCAACAATATTAAAGCCAGTTTTAAAAGCATGGCTCGCATATCTTTATACTTTGGGAGAAAATAGATTTTTCAAATTATCTTAATTCTTATAAAAGAAAGTAATTCATTGCATCGAAGAACGTGTGATGATGGTTTAGTGTATACTACTTTTTTTTTAGATGTGTATATCGTGCACTCTTTGATAAAAAAAAAGATTTGTGCAGTGTTTCTAGACAGTGAAACATAGGACCTTTGTGTCTCTCTCTTGCACCATTCTCCTATAGATCTGTAGAAATCTTGTCGAGCAAAATTGAAATAATCATATTGCATTTTTGCCATATCTGTTTCAAAGATAAATAGGACTTTTGTCTAGATATGGGCATAATTTTGTTTTTGTCAAAAAGTGTTATAATTAAGGGGATTGATATGTAATACGTTGTTTCAGAATATATAAGGAGATGGGAAAGGACTACTACAAGATACTTGGCATAGCCAAAGGAGCGAGCGACGAAGAGATAAAAAAGGCATACAGAAAGTTAGCCTTACGATATCATCCTGATAAAAACAGAAGTCCTGGTGCTGAGGAAAAATTCAAGGAAATAGCCGAGGCGTATGAAGTGTTATCGGACGCGAAAAAGAGAGAAGTTTATGATAAATTCGGCGAGGAGGGTCTGAAAGGTGGTGCTTCGGCCAGCGGAGGTGGAGGAGGTGCCACGTATACCTTCCACGGCGATCCCAGAGCGACGTTTGCTCAATTCTTCGGTTCAGCCAGTCCTTTTCACAATTTGTTCGAGTTCGCTGGTAACCGTGGTGGAGGATTCGCATTTCACGACGACGACATGGACATCGACATGGATCCCTTCGGACTCGGCATGGGACCACCACGACAAGGCGGCGCATTTCGATCGCATTCGTTTAATTTTGCTAGCCCAAATACTAAAGGGGCTGGCAAAGATCGTGCCCAAGATCCGGCTATCGAGCACGATTTGTACATCAGTCTGGAGGAGATTCTGCGAGGTTGCACGAAGAAGATGAAAATATGTAGACGGGCCATACAGCCAGATGGTAGCACCAAGAAGGAAGATAAACTTCTCACCATCAATGTGAAACCAGGTTGGAAAGCTGGTACGAAAATCACTTTCCAGAAAGAGGGTGATCAATCGCCGAGGAGGGAACCCGCAGACATTGTCTTTATCATCAGGGACAAGCCGCATCCGCTGTTCAGGAGAGAAGGCAGTGACATTAGATATGCGTGCAAACTGAGCTTGAAGCAAGCTTTGTGCGGTACTATTGTCGAAGTTCCTACGCTAACCGGCGAAAAGATATCTTTGAATTTAACGCGGGAGATTATCAAGCCGAACACGGTCAAGAGGTTCCAAGGACACGGTCTACCTTTCCCGAAAGAACCGTCGCGGAAAGGCGATCTTCTCGTGTCGTTTGACATCAAATTCCCTGAAACTTTAACGCAAAGCGCCAAGGATATATTGTACGATACGTTACCTAATTGAGCTCGTATTATTGATCGAAAACCGCGAACGCGTATGAGTTAATGTCGTCGCAATTTCATATGTTTTAATCTTCTCGATCAGTAAAGTACGGATACGTTTTCATGTACGTTCTAGTACATGGAGAGAGTAGCGATAATGATAGTGACGATGTCAACAAGGATGACGAGGATGACGGCGATAATGATTATGATTCTGATGGAACGATCGAGAACTATTAAATATTCCCGCGCGCAATTTGCTCCTTAGAGGCCAAATCAAATAAGATAAACATGTACTTTTTTCGACGTTACATCGATATTCAATTTAATTGAAATTCAGTGACTTGGTGTCTACATGTAGCGTTGGTCTCTAACTAAAGACGTCAAGAATAAAACACAAATATAAATACATTAAATTATAAAATGATTATAGAGAATCTGCTATATTATTAATTTCATGTGGTTGCATGTCTGGATTACTTTATTTCCTCCATTATACATGTTATACATATGTGCAAGTATGCGTGGGTATGTATGCGTGTGTTAGGTATACATGTAGTATGTACGAAGGCTGTAAGATAATGCGAGTGCGATATCAGAAATTTTATTCGTTTCACTTAAACAGAGTTCAAAAAGAAAAGAGGAAAGAACGATGAGATGAAAATTTTAGATGTTGCGACAAAGCTGTACATCACATTTTTGTCGTACGTACGCTCTGTCTAAAGTCTATTCTACAATTGTTGCAAAAGTGTAGTTGTAAATGTTACAATTGCAAGAATTCACAACCGAAAAGAATATTCGACTGTGATTAGTTGATTCTTGCAACTATAACTTAGGCTTATACACTTGTAGAATGGACTCAATATAAAATAATTTTTGTTTACATTAAATATTGCAAGACAAACTGACGAATATATATATATATAAATAATAGACTCGATTGTTTTTGATACCGAGTCAACGTCTCTCGTTATGTAATTGCTCTTAAGTTTAATGATTAATTATTTGTACGCTAAATATAATATGAGAAATATTAAGTTATACGACACACATTTTCTTTATTACCCTCGATTCTCCGTTCCGCACCTATGGAAATACGAATATAACATCGGGACACTCTTAAAATAGATGGTGAAGTGGATGACGTCATCGCTCTCTCGTCCTATCTCTCGAGTGCTCTCATACGAATCGGGAGAGAATATGCGTCCACTTTATGCAGTAGTCTACTTCTCTCCTTGTCTTGCAATATATAGTGACCTTGTCGCTCGATCGACTAATAATTATCGATCCTTTTTTCTTGTTCACCAGTTCATCTTTCCTTCTTAATGTTGTTAATAACTGTTAATAATGGGATAAGGCGATTCTGATATAGATGGAGGTAATTCGATATAATCCTTGTCGATCCATTCATCTTCGTCAAATGGAGAAGCGATACTGCGCGATACAGAAGTCAACAAAGGTATACCATCTGGGCCTGATGTCAGGTACTTGATGACACTCGATCGATCGGCGAATCCAAGTCGATTTTGTGCGTTTTGCGGTCCCAATTCCTCATTGTCGTCCTCGTATCGATAAATTTTCGGTAATTTTTTACCGAATCGAAAGTTTTCTGGCAGACAGTGATGCTGACGACAGAAGTAATCTTGGCCCTCTTCAGCGTGGCACCATGTTCCATCCGGAAAGTATGGGTCGAGTCCAAGGTCATTTAATTCAACGCGTGGTGCGTAATAAGCGGCAATGTCCTTTCGCCGACAGAATATAGCACAGGCCATCCATGGCATGTCGGCTTCGTGAGCCGCCTGCAATCCTTTCGCCGTCCCGTCCAATTTGGGTAATCTTTCGCTGAAAAGGCCACATTTCAGCGTGGCAAACTCGTCGATCGTTCTGCGTTTCTTTTTGCAAAGTTTCTCATCCTTGCACAATATTACATCGTAATACATCCCTTTGCAATCTCTCGCCATTCTCAAACGGTTTCGATTCTCGCAGAATCGTCGTCTTACTCGAGCGCCTTTGGATCTTTGCAAACAACCGCTACTGCAGGAACCTTCCTTCCATTCGCTCCAGCTATCTTTCTGGCTATCAGATGATTCCGGTGCTGGTTCGGGAACGGGTAGACATTCTCCACCGCGACATTCTCTACCGGACGCGCATCGAGTCCCTGTAGAAAAAAAAAGAAAAAAACAAATTAGTTTGCCGAACAGACCTATTCATATGACACTTATGTACCGTCTAACGCTGGTCCTGCGAAATAATATCCACTCCTGTGAGGCGTTTTACATTGCAAAGACTGACACGCCTGATACAATGTAACAACGTCCGCATCCTTGTCGCGTAAAAGTAACTCGCACTGCCTCTTGGCGGTCCATTCTTTTCCAGGTAAATCGCGATATCGAGAATGATTATGCGCGAGTGCATCCGAGAAATTTCGTGGCTCCGGCTGATCCAAGAGACAGTGTTTCGTTTGCGAAAGCATCTCGGCCACCTCACGGCTACAGTCAGACCAAACCGTCTCACCTCGAACGCCTCTACTGGGTGACATTATGTATCCATCCTTTGGACACGCATTGCCACTTGAATCGTGTGGCATTCCTAAACTTTTAAACAAACAGATCATTCGAGCATCGATAGTTACATATCATATCGCTCAAGTATAGCTTACTTGTGACCGATTTCATGAGCGGCGATATAAACCGATGTAAAACCCGCAGACGGATACGGCTTTCCAAGTTGGTCCGTAACTCCCAATTCTGCTATCACGCAGGAATAATATGGGATGCACAAACCACCGACGGTGGCTAGTCCCATGGTAGCGCCGTTCTTCCTTCCGTTTTCGATCGCATAAAGATCCAGTCCAGTTACATAGAGGCCCATGTCCCAGTGATGGAAATGAGAGTCCTCCGGAGGATTGCGAGCGTTCGCATAATAACAAAATGAATCCAACAAGCTACCTCTCTCGCCGCCAAAATGCGGTAGATCAATTGGCTGTCTTTGAATAATGTCTAACCGTATCAATGAGATGTCGATTGAGACACCGAGACTCGGATGATGATACAGTGCCTGAATACCATTAACGTACGCTAACAACATGTCACGAATCTTCTCATCGTCTTCATCCAGAAAAGGTGAAAACAAACGATATGCAGCCTCGTCGAAGAAGACTGCCAGTTCCAATGTTAAATTTTCTTTAGTATCTCGTATTAGGCGTCGCTTGGTTTCAAAATCTGGATCAATGAACGGTGATCTCGATGATGATCGCTTGACTACATGAGGGTCACCTAACGGAAGACTGGCTTCTTCTTTAATATAATGGTCGTCAATGAGTAAGGGTAAAGATGCAAGGTCGTTCCGCAAAGGCGTGATCTCCAATGTAACGTTTTCCAGAAAGACGAGCCCGTGCTACCTCCAACAGAGAGATGCATTTTTATTTTTATTTTATTTTACGCACATCCTTATACCGAGAGAGAGAGAGAGAGAGAGAGAGAGAGGAGAATTAAAAATTTTCTCCAAAAAATATCACCAATCCATGTTCTTGACAAAAACTTATGGCTGCGGAACCTTCATGACTCTTGTGAAGATAATAACAAGGATCCGGTGCATTTAATTGCGACAGTTCTTCCGTGATGCTCTTTGCATTATGTTTCCAGACTTGAAACTGAGGCGATACGATGTTGTCATTTCTACGTAGATTCAACTGGATCAATTGTCCAAAGACTTTGAAAGTTAAGGGAATCTGCAAATCGAATAATCATTAAATCAAATGTAAATAATAATCTGATTTAAGTCTTATACTTTTAAAGAATAAATTAAACTATACGATAATGTACCTCTGATGCACCTTTCGAGTTCCATAGTGGCAGCAATATTACCTCGGTATCTCTTGGTATATTACGCGCGTACACTTGATTTAATAAAATTATCAATATCAACCTCATCAATACAGAG